GATCCCGCTCGTTAATTCCAACACCCCGTCATGGCCGGTGCTTCTCCTCGCTTAAAATGCTAATATCATCAGCACCGGTAATAGATTATACAGAACGAGAAGATTCCCCAGGAATAGAGGACTTTCATTGGAAAATGAGGGCGTAGAAATTAATTATTTTTGCACCGTTTTATTTTTTATTTTTCAAAGCCAGACGAGGGAAAATGTTGGGAAAACTGTCTCGAACACCTGCTTCGCATAATCAAGGAGTTTTCTGGCAAAGAAAAACATCCTGAACTAATTCATCACTGTATATATGATGAAAGACTTTGCAGAAGTTCTAAACCTGAAACTCAAATGAACAAGAGAATTTAAATAATATTTGTTCGAAACATGAACATATTTCGAATAAACCATTTTTGGCTATTTCGCGATTTTCCAAAATTAAATGCATCCAATTGTTTGATTTCTACGATTTCGTATGAATCGTGATCACCATCTACCGGTTGGTATACTCCATGTATAAAAAATAAAATTTAATTGAAGCTGAGCAAAATTGCAATAAAAAATCATCCACAGTAGAATCTCCTTACAACGAATTCGTTTTTTTAGGTCCCTGCTGTCCAGTAGCTGCAATGTTATTCGAGTTCGCTCATCAAAAATAATTCGTTACAGTGAAGGCATTCTGATGGCCACAAGAATGGCTTGGTTGTAGCGAGATGTTCCTGCATGCAATTTTCTTAGTTTCATTATTTCAATTTGTTGAAGTTTATATACGGATTCGCTTTCTAAAATCGTAAGCGGTACTTTCAATTGTGAACAGTCACAAAATTCTCTTATAAAGAGCATGTTATGGATTTGCTTCCGGTACGCTTTTCCAGGAGAATGTTTTTTTGTTGTTAGCCATTACTTGAGATTGATTTCCCATCCATTTCTTTTCGGAAAAAAAAAATCAAAAGATACCCAGGCTTTCATCCTAATGTCAAACTTTCTTGGAAAGAACTTGGTTCGGGTAGATAAAAGTAAGCATGGCAAGGGAAAATCCTGACTTTTTTGTTGTTGGAAATTTCAAGAAAATTTTGGTTGGTCGAGGACCAGATGGGATCCAAGTTTGGGTCACATTGTGGGTTCTGAATATATTCCATACATTTCTGTGATGAAGGCCCACTTTTCTGATTGATTAGGAAACCCATGGTGGTGATGGATTCGTAGATGTGGAACGTGGTGTTTGGTATGGGTCTAACTCGATTTCCTCGATTGGAAACCGCTGAGGAAATTTCTGATCGATTCCGCTCTGATATATGCTCTTTTGAGATGATGAAAAAAAATATCTCAGGAACTTCGAAATGCACGATGAATTTGGCCGGAATTTTCAAGGTTTCTCCGTGGAATGCAAAATGGATTCACGAAAATATTTTGCATAAACTGCCAGTACTTTTTTATTCGTTTCGATCCTGGATGCAATTTGAAATTTCCCTTGTCTCGATATATGGGTATTTTGTGATGTCTTGTCGCAGTGAGCGAATTGGAATGTTTGAATCCCATGCATATTTCAACATCTGATTAAAAGCGTCACGAGAAATTTAAAATTTTAAGCTGACCCGAAAAAAATTTTAGAACCCTGGCAGCAACTGAAAAGTTTTCAACGATCATCGTGTTGTAAGTTGAAAAACTCTTTTAGAATTCGGAAAAAATAAAATCAAACATTCGCGACAGACAGGGAACTCAATACTGTCCGTTGCACATATTTTGTTTTTTCATTGTTGGAAGTGAAACTGTCAGCCAGTAAATGACAAAGTGGGTTTGAAAAATAAAACACAGAACACAGCCTTTTATAGGAGGCCAGATCCTCCTTAAGGGAGTCCCTTCAAACCTTCGTTTACTTTTCCCAAACAAGACCTAGCCACAGGCAATCAGGCACAGAGGAGCAGCCCTACTCAAGAATCATACAATGTACAAGCAACAGATACACACACACAAACACATGCAAAATAGTTCCTGCAACGGTCCTGGCTCTACAAGGCGAAGCTGGCAAGTGGTCTCCTCTATAGCTTTGCCAACAATGAAGAAGAATAAAAAACAATGCCAATTCCTTAATCCAGTCTAATTCCCAGTTTACCACAACGCAGCAAACTGGGTGCTGTGCAGCAGGCGGATTCTGCTGCACATGACTGGGATGCCACGCAGTGTTGTCATGCCCCAAGCAAAGATGCTTTGCTTGGGTCACATCAAGCGCAACCCCACAGAAACTACACATGTTCATGTTATTTCTGAGTATAGTAGGAAGATTTTGGTACTGTATTTTTCAGATTCTGATTCATCATCAGTTTGTATCTCATGGGGAATATGTGCACCCTGTCACGGAAATAAATACAATTTCCAAGACAAAGATGAATTATTCAAGCAGTAATAAGGAAAGCAAACACAGCAGTAATCAGCTGGTTTCCCAGCCTGCCCAAAGGGCCAAGAGTTAAAGTGACTTGTATTTCAATAAATTTGAATGAAGTCATTGGATAATCAAGACTTTCAACAATGAACAATAGATTGCAGACCAAAACTTTGCCAAACGTATTATGTACAGTATATACACAACCAAGCGCTTTGAAAATCAGGAGCCAAGTGCTGATGAAAATTTTCGCGCCGATCGTCAATGAAAAATCATTGCGATTTTTTTTTTCAAGAAGGAAGATTTTTCTGAAATTCGATTGATATGTCTCTTTTTCCAGATTGGCTGCGTTGGGCAACTTCCTGTATCTGGCCTGTTCCGTCTTGATCTGATTTTTACACACGATTGCCTCTTCTATTGGAGGTTCTTGTTTCCAACAGATTTAGTCGCCGCAGTTTTTCTCAAGATTGAAGTTAAAAATAAAGTTATATGAAGAGAAGGCCCTGTGTGAGCCGTCGTAACTAGTTTTTGTCCTAGCCAAGAGCGTTCTCTTAATAAACTTATTGGGACTCGAGACGGAACAAAGCGAAAGGGGGACCAGATATCCACCGGCCAGGGAATAATCTCCACCTTCATCAACCTGATTGTGCTGGAGCCTGTGACGTCCATATTCGGCAGTGCACCAGAAAGACACGTTCAGCTTGGCTCAACCATCACGCTCACCTGCGTTGTAGAGAACGTAAGCCCTTATATTTCGACTCTACATTCCATATATATCTACGTCCTTGTGCAGAAAATACTGCTTTTTCGAAATCATTTATCTAGATATACGTACTGTATCGTATCATTTCCACTCGAGAAAAAAAAAAGCTGCGTCATCAGTTCAGACGAAGCGCTGCCGGAAAATATTGCGGGTCCGCTTCATCTTCGTTCTATGAAAAGTTGTTTGTCTCTGAAATACAAAGAAAAATATGTATATATACCGTCTATATTCGTTCCTTTCTCGTGAGTGCCAAAAGTTTGCTCAGTTCCCGGGGTGATGAAGGGATTTTTGGTACTTTTATTCTGCATTAGTTCGCATTTCCTTGGCAAGGATTTCAGAATTACATGCTCATAACTTGCTGGATAATGCACGTGTGTTTTGGGGAACATAATTTATATAGCACAGCGACAATATAACAAACGAATGGCTTCAGAAATTTAACTTTTCCCCCTGTTCATGAGGACCTATTTTTAATGGAAACTCCGCTTTTCATCACGCGATATTGGTTTTAATGCCGGCAAAATAAGGGTTCGTTAATGTTCTCATACGCCCACGAATCTCATATCTTTTCGACCGAAATAGAAGAGGATCGAATATAATAACCTCACAAAGAGAGTCTATAAGGTTTAGATGCGGAAGAACTTTTCTTTTTAAAACTTACGCGTTTTTTAAAGGCAACGACTCCAGCCTACATTAGAAATCGAGTAGACATTTCAACCACGTTATTGATCGTTTTATTTTAGCTTCTTTTCTAAACGAACTCTCCCGATATTTTCGACGACGGAGTCTTGCCTCGTTTTCATCAGAATCCAACTTGATGAGATTTCTAGCGAACTGTTGCACGGGACGAGGAGTACTTATGGAAAAATTAATTTATTCTTCTGAATATAATTGAGAAAAATGTCGAGATTCTTTATTTCGTAGGATAAAGAATGGGATGATTAAGCTCGATTCGAGACGCTACTATATTGAATATTTCTGAGGATTTCGGATGTTTCACGAAGATGATTGACTCGGAAATTGGCCATTGCGCAATATTAATACGAATATGATTGGTTTAAACTCGTCATAAAAGAACTACAGTATGCCATCTGTTCTAAGAAACGTCTCTTTCACAGCTTCTTAAAATGAAAAAAATAATTTTATGCCGAATCCAAGATAAACTGTAACGTTCGCATCAAGTTTCGTTGAAAATTATATCCTAGAAGTTTGACAAAAAAGTTCACTAACTCCTAAACACATGATATTAGCGAATTCCAAATACAATGCACATCAAATGAGTATACTGTAATACTTGAAAATAAAGGCTTATCGATTTTCTCTCAGCAGAAAATAAATATTGCGATCAATATCATGAATACTCTGTCACGTTCGAAAATTTCTCAGAAAATGAAAATTAAAGTGCCACTTCGTTTCTTACATTTGCATTTTGAGAACTTGCATTGATGCTGCTTCTATACGGACAATACTAGGCGATTTGAATCATCAGAATCGGTCCTCAGTCGTGGACTTCCCGCTTTAATTAGTATTTTGAAATGAAAGTCTTCATTTTGAAGACATTCCAAATTTTATCGGTCGTAATTTGATAAAATGGGCGTCTGATATTCCAATTTCAATCATAAATAGAAATCAGCTTCTTCTATATATACAGGTGTTGAGCCAAACTTCACGGCGCGTTATGAAACGGCTAAGGTTGACATCGAATTCGAATTTCGAGTTGTTGGTATTTCTGATGAAAATAATTTCACGGCGCGACATGAAACGGCTAAAATTGACATCGAACTTAAAATTTGGTATTTCTGATGACAATAATTCTCCAAAATTTTGTTTGTAAGTGAAGTCTGCAGCTTTGGCCAGTACGAACAGGACACCATGGCGCCCTCGGTAAGGGACTTAATGCTTTTCTTGCTTGCGCATAAGTAGTTCTGCCTGTGCTTCGGGCATGAGTGGAGTTCGACAGCGACGTCATCGTCGTCGTCAGCAACAGCTGCAGGTGTCGACAGCAGCGACAGTGGGAGGATGAGAACGACGAGCACTTTGACTATCACTCAGGCTCGTCACTCAGACGCTGGGAATTACACTTGCGCCGCGAGGAACGCGAAATCCAGCTCCGTCACCGTCTTCGTGTCCGAACAAGGTACCGTACTTCATTATGTAACTGTACGCTATTATACAACCCTTTCCTGACTCAAAAACACATCACACGTGTAAGAAGAACTGCATTTTATATATATAGAGCAACGACCATCAACCTTGCCTCAAATTATTTAAGTCAGATCAGCATACACTATCCTTATGGGTGAATTTTCCGAGAACATACGGTAAAATCTCGTTGCAGCTAAATTTTGGGGGAGAAAAAGTTCTTTATACATTACTATACCATTTATTATAAAGAGATTTTCAAAATTAACAACTGTGAAGTCCTTTGAGAAGAAATTTAAAGCCCATGTATAATATCAGCGATTAAAATTTCCTGGAATTCTTCTTCTTCCCCCCCCCCCCACTTAGTTCACCTCATTGGTCCCTTGAATTTGATTTGAAGAAGTTTGCCAGCATAACGCATTTTGCAGGTTTCATCACTGTAAACATAACAGCTTTAACTAAATGCGTTTCTCAAAAAATACTGTAAAAGCATTGGAAGGGGCTCTCTCTTATAATTTTTCCTCGTGTTTCGCTGGATACTGAAATCTATTACTGTATCTCTATATTACTAGACGCAAATATAGCGTCGTGTTCTCCTTCGAAACATTTCTCAATTAAAGGTAACTGATTTTTTCTCTTTTCAATGCTCTCTTATTCTTCTCCAAAAAAGGAGACACGCAAGCGTCGATGGAGCGACGAAGCAACTCTGGAAACATGCTTCGAGCTTCACTCCTCTGGTGCATTGGATCGATAAAGATCATCAACCTGCTGATCTCCCGTATTGTTCCGAGATGAGCACAATGGCCAGTTTCAAGCACTTCGCGTGTGGCTCTTTTTTCTATGCAAATTTTTGTCACCGGACACTGGATCGCGACGATGAACAAAGACGTCGCTGTTGAGAACCGAAGTGGAAACAAGAAGCAAGGCTGGGAACAAAGCCGTTCCGCGCTGAACGATCGAAGTTCTTGCACTGCTTTCGAACAAAAAAATTCAAACTTGGATGTAATGGGTTTTTAGTTAAGGAAGAAGGTTTCAAAATTGTTACGCTTTAATGTACTCTCCTGAATAACTCATAATGCATTTGCAATACGATAAAGATTAATTGAATGTCTATTATTCGATCAATACATATGATCATTCAAGAGTTTAGAAGTGTGCGTTTGGTTTGTAAATAATAACATCAGATGGAATCGATTCAAAAATTGCTCACTAAAAGTGCAACGGAAGAAATTCTGATATGAGAAAATTCCTTTTCACTTATGTAGTGGAATAAAGCTGTAATCCGTCTATATTTCAATTTTAGAATATTTCAACTGCTATAGATGAATTCGATCAAAGGTCCAGCAGAACATCGTTCGACTTCGCTGATGTAACAAACGCAGAAGTTTCTATTAAATAATGATGCATTACACTGAAAAGAAACTGTGTAAAATTCTGAATTTTAAAATTGCGCTGTGAAATTGTTGCTGTTTGTGTGGCTCGAGATTTTGGTAGTCGGAAGAATTGGGGTCGTGTGCTGGGGGTTTTTCTTTCTTCTCAGCGAAAAAATTCTTGCTGCAAAAGTGTGTTGATGCTGGGTGTTATTGAAATTGTATCGGAAGAAATTCGGATGGGGTGCTTTTTTAACCCAAGAAACGATTTTGGTGCATGATGGAAGTGAATTAAAGATTGTTTTTTGAAAACGACTCTCCTTTTTAATCGTTTATTTTCGAGGATTTTATTTTGTTTCATCATTTGAAGGATCTATGATGACATATAGTCATATATTGTATTTACTCAAATATCAATTTTTGAGGCGTCCGTCGTCATCTTCTCGAAAACGGTAACTGAAGTGTCCAGTCCCATATTTCATGGGAAAAATAAGACCAGCTATATTCAATTATTTTCCACACTTTCGAAAATATGGAACACTGAACGATAGCACTTTGGCATTCTGCCCAAAATCATTTGATTATCTATTTCGGGTCAGGAAAATGCTTTTGGGAATTAATACGTAACTATTACGGAACCCAAGCGTTTATATGGGACTATTACCGCCCAATTCTCACTACACGTTATTTTTATTAATTCGACTGCGAATAAAAAATCTAATGGAAAATACGAAATCTAATAATAGCAATCGAAAGTTCCGCCGCACAGAGACCAGGGATTTTTCCGTCGACTTTCAATCAATCAAACCTCAGCAGCCCCCGATATCAAAAGTTCTATAAAATTGCATATCAGCTGCAAACGCTCCGATCACCACTCCCGGCCCGAGCACTCAAACATGTCTGAAAAACACGTCTTCAAGTTGAAAAATTCAAGACAAGGAAGGTCTTCTCTTTTTTCATCAGGAGACAGGTGCTCGGTACAGAATATTTTATTAAAAACCGTGTTATTTTCCGTAGCGCGTGATGAAGATTTGAGGAACCACTCAAGTACTTCGGAAACGATATTTCATGGATGAATTACCGATTTGAACGCGAGGGAAAAATCGCACTCCAGTCAGTATACATCACGCGATGAAATATCGCTGCTTCGGAAAAGGTTCTCTTCGCTCCTTTCTAAGTAGCAATCCCCAACGCCTTTCAAACGACAGATCTTCAAAATATCGCTCAAAGGGAGTCAGTTTATTTCTTCGAGTTGAAGATGAAGCCCATGCCCATCCACGATGAAATACGACCCATTAGTTTGCTACAGAAGTTCACGTGGATTTTCAGCTTTGAAAATTCCAAAAGTTCGGAAATTATTCTGTCGATCAGATTTAACGTGGAGAATATTGCGGTAGGTGCACCGTTACCAAATTCTCCAAATATTTTCAGATGCTTGATGGAGAGTTCGTTGAATGTGTACATGTGGATTCGATTGAACGAAGTTCGAAATATAGTAGTTCTTGTTTTTTCACTATAAGCATTCCATAAGAGCAAAATTTGATTCTTCCTTCCTTCACCCCTATGAGCTTTGCGCTCCGGATTCCACGAGAGAAACATAAATGCTTCGACTACGCAAAATTTTATCAAGTCTTCCAGGTTGAAGATCTCTACCTTGCGAAAAAGAAAAGAATTTTGAGAATTTAATTCAGGTTACAAACAAATTTATAAGGTTCCCCAGAAGTTTCCATTTCATTTTCTTCATGTCCTGCATTCATGTTTCTTATTCTAAAAACAAAAAAGAACCAATCGACCGAATGTAAGAAGTCTACGGAAAAGACGGAAGCTTTCTGAGGAATGAATTGACGTCGGGTTGAAAAATTTTATCACAGATCATAGTTACAGTCATTGAAAAGAAAGCAATCGAGTAAAAAAATATCACGGAAGAATGATCGAATCGGACGTCCTCCCAATTCACGTTGACAACAAAAACAGCAACGTCAAATCTTCGCATACAACTCAGCAACTTTTCTCTCGGCATAGTACATGTAATGCTTGCTCGCAAAAATAAAGAGGAGCACCGCAACAGCGTTGATGATGATAAGAATTACAGCGTACCAATCATCCTACAAAGAAAAAACAAATGCGCACATGCTAAAAAAGTACGCTTCCGGAACGTCAGTACAGTATAAGAATCAGTAAAAGAAAAAAGCCAACTACAGGATTTTTTTTCGTGAGGATCACAAATCCGAGGATGACCAACTTTTCCGTCCGAGCTTGTAGAAACCAGACACACAAAATTTGAAATGATCACAGTCGAACCTCTTCAATTTTAACTTCGAGAGACAAGCAAAAATAATCCACTCGGGCGGGAGTTTTCGAGTTGGAGAAACAAGCATCTTTGTTGTGGGGAAAGAAAAGAATAATCGCAGGAAATTGTAATTTTTGATACTCCTATAGGCATTGTATTGCTTCTGAAATGTGTTGACAGGATGCTGAACTTGTAGGCAATCAAAGGTTCATTTGCCAAATTAATCTTTCACTTCCTTTCAAAACACATCAAGTTATATATTTGTATTGCTTTTCTCTTACCTGTGTAAAATAATATAATCTGAAAATTTGATTTTCCGATTTCAGAGGGAAAGCCTTGGTTAGGAGGTTATCAATGCGTTATTTCTACGGCAATCCGGACAGGGTCACAAAAAAATATCAAAACAAGGAGGAATTCGACTTGAGGAGGTTCGAGTTATCAAGGTTCAACTGCTGTAACGCAACTTGAACCTTAATTACATTCCATATATAATATTGGCATGAAGAAGCATGCACGCAGTCTCATCCGTTAACTGCGTGTCCAGATTGAAAATCACGTGAAATCTGTTCTCATTTTTGAAATCCATATAGTATTCGGCCATAATAAACTCACCAGTCTGTCATGAGCAGGGTTTGAAACACTCAGGAATACGAAGTAAACGAAACAGTTGACTCCGACCGCTGCGTGAACCAAAGCAACAGCCATGGCATGAAGTGCGTCCGGGAACTCGGTCATGGCGAACTCGCAAACCATCGGAAAATACAAAGCGATGCAAGCAGCAAAAAATATCCTTTGCAAAAACGACCACATGATGGAAAGTGAATTCGGCTTGACGAGTGTGTGCAACTGCACTCGGTACTGTAACAGAACAGACACTCATCGTCAAAGAAATAAGACACAGAGAATAAATGGAAGCTTAAAAACCTTTTCGTCGTCCCCGTCCAATCGTCGGATCATCATATCGTACGATCCCCCGTGATACAAACCAACCATAGTTTCCTCAAGTAAACCTTCGAAATCTAACATAAACCTGAAATACACGTGCTCCATTCATCCGGGAATTATATGGTAATTACGTCACTTCACAATACTGCAGGGCGGAAAATCTTTCGTAACAAAGAACGGGCGAAAACCGCTGGATAAACTTTTACACTGAATATAAGAACATACACGTGGATTTTCAAAATTTTTCTCGTTCAAGTTGAAAAATTAATCATTTGAAAAAGTCTTACACATTCGTTTGAAATCAAGTTAAAATTGTTTCATCCAATGTGAACAGTAACCATCATATAATAATCAATGCCTTTCTTATTTCCAACGACATTGAAAATATTCAACTAAGCGCGTTATTGGGAAAAAACATACATACAATATAGCATAAATATATACTGTATATGTATTTGTACCGCATATAACTCATACTTCAAAACTTTACAAATTATCTTGTGAATTTGAGTTCTCAAAAACTGAAATACAGCTTTCGATACTAGAATTTTTCTGGTGAATTTTAGTTTTCCAAAAATTGAAACAAAGTAAAACTTTTGATATTTAAAATATGATTTCGTGCATTGGAGTTTTCAAAAATTAAATTCAGCTTTTGTGAAACATGTTGAAAGAAGTTTCCAATCAAATAATAACTCTTGATTTTTGTTTCTTAAAGCTTCAAACCAAAATGCTATGATACTGTACGACAACCCTTGGAAATTAAATTCTCAAATGAAACAAGGATATTGAAAACTCACTGCCCAGGCTTCAAAGAATGAAATCTATCCGTATGATTCCTGGAGCCCCAGAGAATCTGTTCGAAATCCGAGGCAACATGCTGGAAGAACCGGATCAGAATAATCTCTTTGGGTGCCACAGTAGACACATGAGAGCTGCTAGGCCATCGGAAATTGTGTATGACTCTGAAATGGACATAGGAATTGTATTTCACAAGAATTCTTCCGCATGACTATACAGTACTGTAAGGTTCGGGCGCCACCAAAAAAAAGCACTGTTACCTAAGGCCCGGGTTCTGGAGAAAATCCGTCTCACACGAGCTGTCACGCTCGTCTATAAACAGTATCAATGCTTCACCATTGCTATCTACGGTGATCACCAGCGTCTTCGAAATCTAACGAGAAAATATACAGGCTTCGTCGAATTTTGCACCTCAATTGATGAAACCAATGACGAAGACTTGCTAGAAATTCGCCGAAACGGAACCGTATCCACGGAGTAGTTCCAACAGCAGCTGTGGTCATTCTCGCGAAAGTATTTGGACAAGTACCAATCATGACTCGAGCACCAAAAGTCTTTTCCTTGAGTTCTGCTTCCAGATCAAAGGGACGCATTTCGCATGGTTTTAGGTGGAGCTCGATTTCAAGTCGGTTATTCGAGTCCAACATTAAAAAATCGGCGACTTCGGTCTCGATCGGGATTATTGTTCGATTGTCTTCCATCTCCATGATCTGTATGTAGCTGTAGCAGTCCAGATCGTTGATAATGTATAATCTAATGCTATCGTCCGGAATTTCTCTTTCACTAAGGGATTGCTGAAATAAATAAGACGGAAAATTGAAAAAAAATGTTAAACTTCGAAGAAGCCATGATTTTATTATGCTATAATTATAAAAATCAAGAGTTGAATGATCAAAGTCAACTGACACGGATGTACGTCAGGAACAATGAGCTTAACTAGATTTTTCGGAAAACGAAATTATTCAGGATTGGTAAATTAGTCGCTTCTTTCAAAATTTGTTGTATCTTTTCCAAATATCCCATTTTCAATCCAAATACAGTAAAATACCGTAAAAATGAATCTCGTTATAACGATTTTTTTTTTGTCCTGGCAGTTTCTTTGTAGAGACAATTATATCAAAATTTTGCTACAAACTGTTTCCTCCGTAATCTCAGGATAACAGATGTTTGCCTTGATTACGGGCTGATATGCCATACACATTTTCTCTAACGGGGGCACACTACGGAAAAACCAAACTTGAGCATAATTGAAGAACCTTCAAAAATTTAAATGCTAATCCTCTTGTCGAGAAAATTTAGCATCGCCGGAAGTTTGATAACTCGAATCGAAATTCATTTAGCTTCATTTTGAAATTTAGATAAGAATCCTGTTCTTCAAGAAAAATACTTCTGCAGCAAGGATCCTGCTCCATTTCCAGAAAAATGTTCGAAATGAATAAATGCTCTTCTTACAGGTGTGGTTGCTGCTGCGTGTTTTAGCTTATGGATCTGTATAGTTTCAGAACATTTAAGGAAGGGAAGGTCTGAAATAAGAAAATTATACTCTCACATTTTCAATGTTCTCTATTATTACATGAGAAGTTGGAAATTTGGGCAATTCTTCACATATCTGCTGTGGAACTTTGGACAGTTTAGAGCAGTGTTCCTCAACCTGTGGTCTTCAGACCAGCGCTGGTCTGCAGAATTTTTTTGCCAGTTCTTGGAAAATTTGCAGCATAATTATTTATCAAAAGTCAGGATGAAGTCTGTTCCATTTACCGAAAATTTTGGAAGGACAATGGCAGTTGAATTCTCTGATGAAAACAAAAGATGGCTTTTCTTGTAACAGCACTTCAGACAAATTTTCACCAGCTGAAATAAATTATTTAAATTTTTCATTCAGAGGAATGTTTCTCCAAGCCCACCTTTCCAATTGTTTGAAGGCATTCTTAACTGCATTTTTCTTATAAATACCTGCCAAATAAGATTCAAGCAAAACTTTGGTGAGTCTTCAAAAATTTATGAAACTTTGTCAGTCGATCTGCAGAAATGTTTTTGGGAAGTTGCATGTCTGCAAAATTTTTGTTGAAAATTTGCTGGTCTGCGGGCCCACAAAGGTTGGGGAACACTGCTGGTTTAGAGCATTCATACCAGTACCCCACAAAATAGAAGTCCTGTATGCTCAAAAAATCATCAATATAATATAACAAATTTGTTGTGCAAACATTTTTTCAGGTACTCAAGAATTTGTTGTATTGAGATTTTACTGCATAAGAAAAGTTCAAATATCTTCAGCAGAGACATTCTTCATAGCTGGAGTTAACTGTGGAGATATCAGCTTGCAAATAGAAAATGGTGACATTCTTGGAACTGTCTCATCAGCAGTAAGAAGCTATAATATGCTAAATTAGATATAGCATCATATAAGGACAGAAATTTAACAGAAACATAACAGCATTATCATGTCATGGCATCATTAGAGTAGATTGCTTGACAACTGGAAAATTTTGAGACACATTTCACGTCGATACAGTATCAGTTTGGCAAATATTTACTATAACTTACATTTTACTTTTGAATATTGTCCTCAGAGTACGAGAAAAATATATAAAAATGAATATTGCATCCTGAAAGAGCGTATGCATCTCCAACTTTTTCCTCATAAAATTCTCAGCTTTTATAATCAAGAAAAAAGCGGGGAGGGGGTTCCTAAAAAATTGGGAGGACAAAAATGTAGTAGACTATCTCTACAGCTGAGAGTTTATGCAAAAAAAAATTAAGAATTTTCAGTGTGCTGTACCGTACCGAGAAAAAATGAAATCCATGCCTAACTTTTTTTCTTTTAGCTCTTTACAGCTTACAGCAGTCACTCGTCTGGTCTTAAAAAACGGCCAGTTCCTTCCCTTCCTCCCCCCACCCCTCAAAAACCCTTCAACCATTTTTTTTTTCTTCACCAGATGTGGCTACTTGGATATACAGTACTGTACAGTACAGTATTATTCTCCGGATATAGGAATGCTGATGCGCGAATCGCTCTCTTTCCACAAGAGGTATATATATGTACACACGTTCACATATTCCGCCCGTGAACGCATACAAAATCGCAGTTATTAATCGCGAGGTCTCACCACTACCGAGTACCCGAGATAGACGGAGAATCCGTGAGCCAGTAATGCAAGCACGAGGACCAGTGATATTTGTCGCAGGGGAAGGACCATTTTTCGAGAAGTGCGAAGGAGGGGCACAAACAGGAATATGGAGATGACTGACAGGACGACGAAGGGAACTGCGGTGACGGAATGTGTCCGTTCCTGCGTCACCACGAAGTCCTGGTTGACGGTCCCGTTCATGGCCAAGTAGTCGCTGAGCCAAGTGGTTTCCTATTTCCGGTTGGAGATCGGTTCATGTGGTGAGTTTCACGAGATACAGCATATCCACTAGCTTCACAGTTCGAACAGGTGCGATCAACAACACATTTAAATTTCGCTCATCAATCCGATTCCAGGGGTCGGGTACCGTAAAATAAAGTTGATCGATTTGTGACCTTCGGTATCGAGACACTAAAAAAATTACAGAATTACGGCTCCAACAACAATCTGGTCTAGAATGATTTTCTTTGTATAAAGAAATTTTTGGTCCCAAATGATTCTCTCCCCATGTTATACGGATTCTCCACAACAACTCAACAAAACTATCTGAACAACAAATTTTGTTCTGGTCTCTTGAATTTCGTTGTAGAGAGAGAGGTCACCTGCAGTAGCATCAAAGCTCTGTCAGCAGCTTTAGTTTTGAATTAGACAGTATCGTAAGGATGCCTTAAAAGTTCTAAGTTTAAATGCATCGGTATGACAAGAGACGAGCGCGCATATTGAGGAGAATTCTCCCAGAAAAGATTGCGAAGCGCAATCTTACAAGTTTTACAGTGTTTTTTATGTGCAAACTTTCAAACCACCACTCTCTTCACAAGAAGGTGAAAAAATGACATATGATTGAAATATGTACAGGTGAATTTCTTAAAAGTTTAATTCCAAAGATCCAATAAAAAAAATCGACTTCGGGAGTTTAGTTCGGGACACTAGCCTTCTTGTCTTGAATAAGAGGAGAATCGGAAGATGTTGAAATTCTAAATATTTTTTTACCCAAAACTGTTCTGTGAAGAAGTCGACAGGATGCCAAACTTTGAGGCAAGGGTTCAATTGTCCATTTAGTCATTCGTCACATCCTTTCAAAAAATAAAGTTGCACTTTTTTGCTTTTCTCTTGCCTGTGCCACAAAAATAATTGCCAAGAGGCCTCAAATAAATTATAATTGTGGAGGTTTGAAGGGAACCCTTTTAAGTCAGGGAGGTCATAAAATATTGTTTTCAAAAATAATTCAGACAGAAACTTCATCTAAAACAAGTATTAAAAATTTAAAAAACAACTTGGGGATATAGGGATAGATTGCGCTTCGCGAATAGGGGAGGTTTTAGCTATCCAGGCTCAACTGTAATACAAATCAGTCGAACCTCTTCAAGTCGTATTTCAAGGGACCAACAAAACAAAATTCGACTTAGGGAGGATTTGAGTTGAAAAAACAAGCATTTTGTTGGAGAAAAAATAATAATTACAGAAAATCGTAATTTGTGATATTCCTGAGCCTTTAATTACTTCTTTAATGAGTTGACAGGATACTAAACTTGAATGGGCTCATTCGCCTTATTAATCTTTCACTTTCCTTTCAGAACACATCAAGTTACATCTTCGTTGTTTTTCGCTTTCCTGATTCAATATAATAGCCAATCGGCCACCAGAAAATTCGATAAAATGGAGGTTTGAGAGAGAAAGTCTCCGAGTTAAGAGGTTTTTAACGCATTGTTTCCAAGGAAATTCAGAGAGGGACTTGAAAAAAAAATCAACATGGAGAGTCATTCGACTTGGAGAGGTCCGACCTATCGAGGTTCAACGGAAGCATATAGTGAACAAGGAACACGGGAAAAACTTGGGTTCTCAACTGCGGGATAAATCAGAATGGCGAACGACAGGGGAATCAGGAGCGGAATTACACCCAGGAAAACTTCCGTTTGTTGCACATCGTTTTCCGTGTGTCCGTAATGACGAGCTCCTTCCACCCAATGGAGATACTCCGAGTGGCCGTGCAAAATTGCTCGCCTCATTCCGTTCTGTGCATACGTCGGTTTTCAAGAAAGGCATTTGAAACGATTAACAATGGTATCCGTGTCTCAAAGCAAAACTTTCAAGTACCCCAGCACAGCGCACCAAACTGCAGAAGTACAGGAGTCCCGCTGTCCTCGGAATCAGATACTTGCTGCGATTGAGGAACAAAAGCACTGAAATTCATGAAAAAAAAACAGAAGAAAAAATTATGTTCATGCGCATGACTTGTGCAGAACCTGACTACAACGGGGTGAAAACGGCTCGGTATTTAAATTTTACAGAATTGATCAAAAATGAAGACACAGCAAATAAACTTCAAAAAATTTACGAAAACGCATCGCATCTCGTTGTGCGGGAAAACATTTATACCTTCCCGTAAAATGAACAGAACGACGAAGCAAAACTAATGAGTACCCAATTCGAAACAGAACCGAAAAAATTGTTCCTTTGTCGATACCCTGAACTTCCAGATTTTTTCGCTGTCACATGGGTTACGCATTAACCAGTACGATGTTACGTCCCAGGTCGGACTACTGTAGTTTGTTTCAACAGTCTATCATCGGTTACACTGTAATGTATTTCGGAAAGATCAGCTTATCAGAAAATATCACAGTAAGCATTACTGAAGAAAGCGCGGTTTTTTATTTGAACGAAATTATCGCAGTCATATCCGCGTCTCATTCATTGTACATTCGCTCTCAGCGTCTATAACAAGTTATTAATGTCCGATTCAAAAGCCATCGCGAAAAATTCGATACCAACGAATAATTAAATTCACAATAATTCCCAGTTTATTCAGAATACGTACTGTATTTCAAAAAAGCTTCTCGAGCAACGAAAACTGAAAAAATTCAAATCGCTAACTTTTTTCCACTCACCGGCTGGAGTAACACTTGCAGCAATTCTTGAGAACACTGAAGCGAAATAGCACGTTTTATGTTCGAAACATTCTTCATCGTACATTGTGTCGATATTGAAAAACATAGTTAAAGTTGATGGCAGGAAACGCATCACGTGGCAAACTACGAGGAAACGGAACAGTTTGTATTCCGCGTATCGGACTCGGCCTTCGCCGAAATTCCTGGCCTGGATGGATCTTTGAAACTGAGACGAACCGAGAACCAACAACGAATTCCAGCAAAGACTCTCTCCCAATGACGTAAAGAACATGTCGAAGATGAACAACATTCTGAAAGAATAAACCTCGAAAGAAATCAGTTCGTTTGACTGAGAAGTTCTTTTTTCCATCCGGATTCTAGTATAGCTAAATCTGGACCGAACTGATCCGCAATAATCCAACTATGTGAATTCGCAAAACCATTGAACATTGCAGTTTCTAAGTGTAGTTATCGGTGCTATTTGATTCGTACACAAGTATGGCGCATATTTGTGGCTCGACAACAAAAAAAGAACCCGCAAGGCATTTTATTGCATGATGAGAATACCATGAGAAGGGGAGAGCAAGAAATGAAACTTTATAGAAATACCTTCGTCTTTTTGTACCATCACAACTACAAATTTTAAATCCCGGCATTTTCGAGATTGTCTACCTTCGGACATGGGAACACGATTTACGATTTCTCGCCAAACTCAAAAGAAGCTAGATATCTCTCCTCAATAGATCTAAAAATTTGGAATGTTCGTTGTGCCACGGTTTTTTTTTTTCGGATTGGTCCAAGGAAAACCAAAACCGGAAGGAACGGTAACAAAACCAATCCGGACTTATTGCGTCAATTCTCAGAACTGTATAACATTCTCGTTTCGACTCTCATGAATAACTTAACGCATGAATTTAACTATCACCAGTTCATTGAAATTAAATGAAAGATTCTTCCGGATCTCAAGCAACCCGGTTAAAACTCTCCTATGAACTGCATAAGTTTTGTCCAATTCTATTTAGTCTGACTTCCTTCCAAAAAGAAATGGCAACGTGGGGAGCACTGGATCTGAATAGGAACTCCCAGTAACATCTTGGCACGACACAACAATATTTTGTCTTGCTATCAATGAGCAACGGACCACCAGCCATTTCATCATGAATCTGGCAGGACCACATGTTTCCATATCATTCGACCGACAGTATTGAGCTTCTTCGGCGAAAAACAATGATTTAAAACCGAGACGCAGAAGTCCTTGCCACCCAACAAGATCGAGCCGCGGACTCAATACTTATTGAATGATTTAAATCCCTTTTACTCCAGTTTTTCATCAGACGAAGCAATAACGGAAGAGATTCAACTCTTACAAAAAATATTCCTCTGAAGATGAAAGTAAATCTAAATCAACTGTTGATGGCATATACGAGATTTGTCCCAGTTAGACTCTTGGACACGACCTCAGATATTTTTAAAGCAGGTGTGATGGTAAAAAAAAAGATACATATCTTCACGTGGACCATGAGGGTTCTAAAAGGTTCTGGGATTTGTTACGAATTTTTGAAAGAGTTCTTAAATTTACCGCACAATGGTAAATTGAAACTTTTCAGTCACAGCCAGAGTTAACTCAAATGGTGCAGAAAATTTGTCAGGCCATCTGAAAATTTGATTTTTTTCAGCCATCAAAAGATGATGGGTAAAAGAAAAGAAAATTTCAATCTTTTAGAGGGCCTGACGAATTTTGAGCATCCTGTGAAATAGGTGAAGAACTCCAGCTATAACTGAGAAGTATTCAATTATCATGGAGCAGGAATTTGAGACAACGTTTTTAGAAATCGGAAATAAATTCCAGAACCTTAGAACCTCGCGGGCTATGTCATGATATATATATATATATTTTAATCACACCTACTCTAAAAATATCAGAGCTCGCGTCCAACTGAGACAACCCCCATATGACTAACGCGCAGTTGGAACCCGAACAGACTTCAAAGGGTCAGTTACGATTTCTACTCCGGCGCTACTTGAATAGGATATTATATACACAAGAGAATAGCGCTACGAACAGTTCGGTATGGTGCTTCAATTCCAAATCAAACAGAAAAGATTTGAAGTGCTAAATACCTCGAGATCACACGGCGTCCACGGACGAGGCTGGCGAGAAAACCCAGGATTGAAGAAATTGCCATGACGCTTGCGCCAAGTATGGCACATCTGCATGATTACAATAACACGGATCAATTGAGAAGCCATCAAATTCATTTCAAGAGGTCAAGAAGCAAATTTCAGTGGACTTGGCAGGGTATACTCACTCAGCAACATTTAGTAAGCCTCCGAGGAAGAACACGAGAACCGGGGTAATGCAGAGAACAAAAGCTCTCCTCGAAATCACTGTTAACGGTATGTTCCAAAACAGCATTCGTTCCTGGAGGTAATTCCCGGATCGTCCTAAAATAATCAAGTTTTTTTTAGCAGAACTCATCAATTCAAGGAAAGTAACCTTTCACGTAGTTACCGTGAAATAAGTGCACGTCGAGTATTCCGAAAGAAAATGCCGACGCTAAAACCGACGCAACCTTTCAAACACAGATGTACCAATACTGTACTTCGCTGGACTGTCAAGAAAAATGTTTATCTAGCGGAAGTACCTGCCAACATTCGCGCTTTTTAGAGAAGTAGGCGTGTGAGGTGAAGCCAAACTGTTTAAGGGTAAATGGAAACGGTGGGCGTTGTGATTTCTACTTTCGGTCTAATTTGGGCGTTATTTAAAACTTAGATAAAAAAAAAATAAGCTGTTGAACTCACATTTCTTCTGATGCTTCAGCGTGCAAACCAATTTCCGACATTCTTCCAAGCAAAGAGATGGAAAAGAGGAAGGGCAGGCAGAAAAGAAAGATGATCACGACAATAAGAAGAAGCTAAAAATTAATGCTAGATAAAATCCGAAATTGTTAAGTGAGATTGCATCTACCTTTTTTCTTTTATGCGAGGAAGGAAAAATCTCTCGCATTTAACACGAAGCTAAAAAGCAAGGGGCTAAAATATTCTTGACATACTGTTCATTCGATTGAGTTTGATTCGGAAAATTTGTTCATAACTTCGGTGATTTCCCGAATGCTATCTAACAGACAATATTTTTTTAAACGAAACATGCTTATACAAACTATTAGATGGAAAATAGTTCAGTACTTTCCCATCAGCAATACTGTAATAGTGAACTAGGTTTTCCTGAAATTTACATTGCTTTCGCGCAAAAAAAAAGTCCATGCAAAGGAATATATTTGAAAAATTACCTAACCATGAAAACGACATAGATTTAAGAAATGTTTGACGAAAGTGACATTCTAACAAGCGCTTATAATCGCGGAAGTGATGATTATGGTAATCATAACGTTCTGCTCGTGAATGAAAATATCGCTTTTTTTACAATACTGGATCGTGCAATAAAGGTGAGAATTAGAAAAACCACTGCTCTCGTGACGTCTTCAGCTTCTTGGCGACTATAGTACCATGAAGTGACACACATGGAAAAGCTAATTCTTCTCCTAATCTTTCTGACAGAAGATCGAAAATTTCATCAACAATATCAAAAGATCTACGAGAAAAATATTGCCACTACTGAACACTTCTACAAAATAACAGGATTTTACGCCAATATCTACCTCCAGACTTGTACACATCAAAACCGTATTACGAATAAGGTTTTGGCAAGCTATTTATGAAGAAATTCTGGACGCATCAAGGTTCAGAAAAGTATATTTCGTCTGAAAAATTGCGCTCGCACCCTCGCGCTGAAGGCAGCTCAGAAATTGCCTCTTAATGACTGGTAAGGATTCCATGGATTTAAAAAATTTATACATAGAAAAGGAAAAACCAGGAGAGCAAAACTTTCAGTCACAATGTTCATGGGTAACATTGTTGTATACAAAGACTCCGCGTTACACGCTGACGTAGAAAGCTTCTCGTCGAGCGTTCTTAGTTACCTTCTTGTGTGTCGTGTCAATAAGTCGTCACTTCAAAATAAGAATCGCGACTTCCGCAACCCGTTTCCACCTCCTTCCATCTCCACATAATCTTTTCACTCCCAATCGTCGCCAGCAGCTGTCCAATCAGAGGCTGACGAAGAACCAAAATTCCTTTTCGTGTCGTCAGCGCCGCCCAAACTCGACAACAAGCACACGACTTCGTCGACACGTCGTTCAAGTTCGACACCAGAGGCAGAAAAATTCGAAACGCATTCACTTTCTGACACAACCAACCTCCGCGAATCTTCCGAAGTAGACTCAGTGGTACTCGAGAACATTGCACCGACGAGACGCCGTTCTTCCAGGATTCCAACGAGTCCGTTTTCTCTGACAGTAGCCTTAGCTACACTGTCTCGGTAGGACCGCTCGCTTTCCCGGATTTCTTCCACGGGCGCCGCTAAGAATGACGACGACACTTGCAACCTGAAATTATTGAAAACAAAATAATGGTCAATAGCAGCGGAGAAGTACAGTTTCTTCCTTGTACAGTACACGGATTTAACTTGAACCTCAAAATGTCAAAGTCTGACTACATGTCTTTGTAAATCTCAACTTGACTGCTCTTTTTGGGCCATTTTATTCGTTATGGCCATCTGAGAGAGATTTTGTTAAAACTGACGCTCTTAAAAGAAGCATTTTATAAAAATGGGTTACATAGCGGTCTTGAATCATGCTAGATGTTTCCTCCAACGAAAGTCAGGGGAACAGAGAAAATTTCAGGTAACAGAAAAACTTTGATTTTGAGAGAATTTTGCTGTAGAGAAACTCCCTGTAGCGTGGTTAGACAGCTATCTGAGCTATGCGACAAAAATCGTTGCATTCCCAACAATACATTTTTCTTTTGTCCACTGTATTTCGTAGTCGAGAGTTCAGTTGCACAGTATAGAAAATATTTGTCTTACAACATCACCAGAATTGAGACCGATCACCGCGATGCCGTTGAAGTATTCAAAATTGTGAAAAAACGAAAATCAGTGGATCAGCAGAATCTCTCTTCAGATAATATTGTACTGTACTGTCCTCTCATAAATCACGAAAATTTATTTTTTTAACGGACCAAAAACACAATCAATTCCTTTTGTGCGGTAATTTACTGAGAACACAGCCTACTTGTCTTAGAACACAGATTTTATACCTTATCATAATCACCCCTGAAATTCTCCTTTGACTTATATTCGATTAAGCAACCATATTTTCAATTAATGCGAACACAGCTTTGAGTAGGTAGGTATCTGTCAGGAAGCAGGCTTTCTTTTTTAAAGGTATCCTTCCGGACTAGCGAAATAAAGACAATGAATCATTCATCAATGTGCAGTAACCATGATCAAAATAATAACCAACATTCAAAAGGATTTGAAATTCTGCTCAACATTCATTCAAGAAAAAATACAAGGAAAATGACGTACCAACTTTCGAATTCTAAAACGAGCGACACGCATGTAGCGTTTCAGATATTCGGCGGAAATCTCAGGAAGAATGGAAGATTGTTTTCACGATACGGTCGGGGGCTTTATTTTTTTGAGTATGGAACGAAAGGCTATGAAAATTCGTTGGAACCGAGAAGTGTTCACTAAATAACTGCTCTCAAATCAAACGCTTACCTGAACCCACCACGAGGTAGATGATGTTCCACAAGTTGCCGATGCCAAGGAAGACCAATTTCATCGGTTCCCGCAGCAGAACGCGGCGCACGCGGTAAATCGTCTTGGCGAAGACAATTCTTTTCAGGCCTATGGCGACGGGTTTCGTACATATTCCTCAACTGTCGTTCGTCACACGGCCTGAACTTTCGGACCATCTGCGCAGTTTTCACTCTTGAGACCTGCCGATAAATCGAGAGTGAATTTTCCACGATAAACGATCCATAGCAAGTCTTGTCTTGTTCCTGCATTGTCACATACGTCATTGCAAAGTTTATGGAGGAAATACAGAATTCCGTCCATCATGTTCGTCAACCGTAGCCAGGGGAGGTACAGTATCAGTAAAATGCTCCTGGACGCGAAATTTCGGATTTCGAACACGACACCAACTAGTGCACGAAAGCATAGGCAAAAAATGAGTACACACACGGAAGAGAAAATAGAATTAACGACAGAGACTCACAAAAGATAAAACGGTTTTGATGTAGTGCGTGTAGTAACGGACACTTCGCATGATGGATTTTTAGAAGAATGAATTCCTTTAGAAAATTTTGAAGCCGATTGATCGACATGCCAGTGTATAATTTTATTTTTTACTCTCGGTTCTGTTTTCACTTTTTGGTGCACGAGTTTTCTAAAGATTTGCTCCTTCAAGAATAGCTCTTTCCGGCACATGCTTTTTTTTCTCACATCTCCCACATTAAGTGTAGGCTTATTTTCATACCAGTTCATTGGCGAGCTTCATATTTCGCCTGATTACCGCAACATAACAAAGAGCAATGAAAATAGGCCGTTAATCACCCCATGACGACTCTTTTGAGAGCAGATGTCAGGATCACGCCGCCAACTTGTAGGAGGTTCCTTAACCCACAGTCTGTATCCGAACTCGTCCGCAATCTCCAAATAAGGCACCATTTCGAACAACGCCAAATTCGTGTTGTCGATCACTATCAGAGCGCGACTTTGTCTAGCATAAAATTTCGCTCTTTGACGATTCCAAAAATGTGCCGTTTGGAGTAAAGCAGGAGTAAACTGGTAACTTCCATCAGAACGAGTGAAGAAATCGTCGGTGCTCAACACGACGCAACGGTCACCACAAATCTTCGCTAACGCAGCCGCGAAGGTAGATTTTCCGGACCCGGAAGGACCACGAAGGAGAACGACTGTAAGCTTCGATAACAGTTGGCGAGCCAAAGAATGTAGACGACTACTCTGTGGAAACCCGAATTCAACTTCAGAGGCGCATTGAAAACATTCACTGCATTCACGCGATTCTCAGGCGAGAATTTCTACTTCAAATTTTCTGATTTATATGCCGCACATTCCATTTTTTCGTCCTAAAATCCATTCCAAAAATAAGGGAGCAACACGTAGTCGCACGAAGCCTATCCCAAGAATAAGGGGAGAACCGGTGACAACTTTTTAATCCTCTGGCAAGCATCCGCGTGTGCTTCTCACCGTGCATCGAAGCTAACATCTTGCAGAACGGTCTCCTCGTTCAACTGAATATGTAACCGCTTCGAATTCAAGCGTGAATCGGAGACCCCATTCCGTAGGAAATGTTGAATGAAAGCTCTTCGTTCGAAATCTTCACGTAGCTCAGTCGCGTCAAGCGATCGCCTCTTCCAAAGTGATCGTGCGTGCCCGAAGGTTGCCTCAGACAAGCGGTGCGATGCATCCATCACTCAATCATGCCCGAGAAAACTGACTTGGTCCGAGAAAAAGATTAAAAGCGAGACTAAATGATAATGATGTAGAAGTACCTGCGGGATACCTCGAAAAATCATTGGAGAAGAGGGTTCGAAATATTCTTAGAAATCAAATTTTCCGTTGAATCACTTCCAGCGAACCAAGATTTATTCGCTACAAGCCACCATGGAGAACACCAGCGTTCTTCAATAAAAATAAAATTTTCTCACGAAATCAACAACTTAAAAGATGAAGGAGCATGCGCACGGCGTTCACCCCAGCACAAGCTCAATCAGACCAAGAGAACAGGCAGATGCGAAACATGAAGAGCGCCGCAATAAAATTTGCACCTCACCAATGGAAATACGTCATAACTGGGATTACTTCACGAGATCGCTCCGCGATCTGTATGCCATGTAGAGAACAATCATAGAGGTAATCAAAGCAAGGGATTCAGAATTCACTGTTGGTCCTCGGTATACACCCTGAAAGATAGAACACGATAAAATCGCAAATTTCCTTAAATTAACGCATTACCGCACAAACTCACCTCAACATTCACGTTGGCAGTAGTCAAAGGTGCAACACTTGCTGAATCTCCACCGCTTCGAAGAGCCTGAAAGTTAGAAATTGTTCATCGATGCGTCAAAAGATTCTTCACGGAGCTTGAATTAAATCGTCATTGAATGAGACACTGCACAAATAAAAAGTCTGAACGTCTGGTCCTCTTCCATACAAGGCACACTACCAGGTAACGGAGCGAAATTCCGCTAGAACAGCACGTTTAGTACTTCTTTACCAGAGCCACATTTTTAAATTGACGCCTCGCCTAACTTTCTCACCTTCCTGAAAGCTACGTAACCGTTGTCGTCGTAAAAATTGATCGTAACAGAACCTGATCGGGCTAGTGTCGGCTTCTCAGTCCACGAGATCAAATAACGATTTGGTTCGGGAGTTTTCGTGACTGGCAAGAGATTATGACCAATAGCAGCGTAGATGGGAATGTCCTACAATCAGGAGAATACACGAATGAATTAGCATCACACCAATAAGTCGAAGTTTTCCGTCTTACTTTAGACCCATCCTTGCATGTCAGGGTTATGTCTGCTACAAACGCAATCTCATTCAGAACCAATGTATCCGTAGCAGTGTACGACTTTATTCTGATGTCTGGATTGCAAGAAGCGGCAACTGAAAACACGTCATGAGGAGTCAAGTGAAACTCTTCGCAAATGACGACGCAGCACAGGAAGACAGATGGAAGATACTCACCATTAGAAGCAAGGAAGATCACAGCAACACCCAAAATGAGCAGCATTTTCAGGTAACACAAAAGCAACTATTGTAAAATGATGAACTGTCGACATAGATCAGATTTAAACGGCGGCATTCGGCTAAAATAAACTTTTTGGTTTCGATAAGGGGTCACTTCCCAACTTAGACACTAACAATTTTCGCACATGTTTCCAACTCAACGATGAACTTCGGGAGACAATTCCCGTACTTTCCCGTCAATCGTCCAGCTCCACAGCCTGGCGGTGTACGTAAATGAACGCTACCCTCTTTGCCACCGCTCTCCACGTAGTCACAGTTAGCATCACAGAGCGATGTTGTGTTTTTTATTTTTAGACGTACGGTAGTGAGGCGGATATCGTCCACCTTGTATATCCTGGCTTTCGAACAGACCAAAGAGGCGGATTATTACAGTACAGCAGTACTATCTTTCACTTATTTTCAGATACAATATTATTCATAGCAACTTTTATCACAAGCCGCAAATTGCTTCAATTGGCTCTAAATGAACAAAACACAGAGAAAAATTACGAATTTTGTTGCCTACACAGTATTTATAGAACTTTGCTGTAAATGTAAGAGCTTGCATATATATCATGGATGTAGAAATTTTAAAAAGCAAGAGTTCATTTTGAAATTTATCGAAATAATTGACCTGTACATATATAAAAGGGTGCATATATCAAGTTCATCATTGGCTTGATCTTGCTCTGGTGCAGCACAGTTTATAAAAATGACTGTAAATTTCTCTGGGGCACAAATATTATTTTGCATAGACAAAACATGCAACAGCGGGATGATATACAATATATTAATTACTGCAGCACCAGCAAATTCATAAAAGGGTAGTTCTGCATTTACTGCTGCATAAGTATCATTTTATAATATTCGAATGGTATGATGAACCAAAATATTCTATGCATCATACCCAAATAATAGAGGATAGCCATGTTTAAATTGCTGAAGGAATGAATTCTATAGATGAGTTGCAGCAGTAGAATATTAATTTTTCATCTATTTTCAGGTGCATATTAATTTCGCAAATATTAGCCGCAGGAAATGTTTAAACTTCAATTAGGACCTTAATTATGCCCTCGTATATTCGTGGGGACGTGCTAGGTCATTTAATGCTCCCGCACCTCTGCGTGCATCAATTTCTTGAGTCTGGACAGGATATACAGAATGAGTACATACATCTGTGGCAGTAATAGCTCATAAAGTTTCAAATGGTCGCCTATAGGCTTCTGATGCGAATATATGTTTATCGGACAGGTGAATCGCGTATACAAAGGGTTACACGCTTCCGCGCGTACCTCATTATATCTATATATGGAGCTCTCTCATATACCCAGCAGTCAATTTGGATGACCTTTTCTGATTTCGGACCTTTTCCTTCTTCTTCCTACATTACTGGAGGCATCGTCTTCTTTTTATTCGTTATTTTCCCGCAGGAATAGCAGGATGGAAGGGCACAGGAACAATACAAGTGATTTGGTACCAGTTTCCCGTGGCGGCCGGGGTTCGCGCGACCTTACATGGCTGTGAGAGAGTTTCGAACGGTCATTACTTCATTAGCTACAACTTTTCTCAAAGAAAAATATTTTAGCATAGTATTTTTTTGAAGCGAAAGACTTTCGTCAACGACAAAATTTTTAGAAAATGACTCTGGCAGCGAATAACTTTTGCACACGACAACAATTTTTGAAGCAAATGCTGACAATTCGAAACTCTTCCACAGTCAAGGCAGCGCAAAAGCCGCGGGGAACACATGAAATCACTTGTATACGATTCCTGTGTCCTTCCATCCTGCAGAAAAATTACGAATAAGGAAGAAGAGCAGCCTCCAGTATTGTATGAAGGAGGAGGAAAAGGTCCGAAATGAAAATAAAAGGTCATCCAAATTGACTGCTGCTGCAGAGAGCTCGAGATATGAGGTTCGCGCGGAAGCGTGTAACCCCTCATTAACGATACACTATACTGTATACAAGTATACATTATTGTACATGCACTACTGTACACTTGGACAGTATTTCCTTATTCCAGTAATGATCTGCATGTACAGTAAGGTATTTTATCAACAACCGGGCCCGGCAAGTTGCTGATGAATCATTTCGTGCGAACTTCGCAAAAGTGCTATGGGGCAGAATTTGATTTCAACTTCCGGTTCACTTGAACTAATAAAAAAAGCCACACCTAACTGCTAAAAAAATAACTGCTCGTTTTATTACTTTTTTTTATCGCATACCGTATCTGCTGCTGCCAGAGGACTCGAAGAGTCAAAATAATACATCCGCCAATAGATAGCTGGGATCCGCCGGAGGCCCCGTCAAGTTCATCATCGCCCGCCACGATTTTCCGCGCACTTGCCTTCTCACGATAGAGACTTGTTAATTCTTTTTTTCTTTCGAGGGAGAAAATAATAATCAACAAGAAAAACAAAAGGAAAATAATCCTTTGATGCTTCGAACTGCTCGTCAACGCGAGGCTTCCGACATTTCCTCGTATTACGTTTTCGAACATGGAAATTTTCTGCTGGAGGCTCGCTCGCAAGGAAATAAAGCTCGCAGCTGAATTTACCCAACACGTCAATCTCAATCGCTGTGTGTTAAATTCTCGTCGGTTTTATTTACACGCACAAACTGGGATTATAGTTTGTTTATTATTGCTGGCAATATTATGCTGAGCTCCGCAGAACGGGGTCTCTTTTTTTTTCGGTTTTAGTCGAAGAGTGTCGACGTCGTCAACGTTGAAGGGCTTACGTACCATTTTTACAAAAACTACTTCTCCCGCAAAGTTAAAGTAAAATAAAATAAGGACAAAACAATGTTTTTTTGCCTCATGATTCTTTAAATCCTTTGGTGCTGCTGTATATACTGTATCATCGTTTTACAGTTGAATCTCCACGAGAACAAATTCGAAAATGGCCGAGCACAAAAATTTGATTTAAGGATGAGGTTTCAAATAAGAAAAACAAGCAGTTATGTTGAAAGAAAGAAAAGAAGAGTTACAGCAAATTATAATTGGTTATATTTTGTGCCTTAAATTGCTTCTGAAATGAGTTGATGGGATGCTGAATTTAATTGGAGACAATAGGATTCATTTGCCCAATCAGTCCATAACATCCTTTCAAAGATTTTCAAGTTATATTTTCATTGCTTTTCTCTTCCCTGTGCCAGTAAAATAATCACGGAAAGGCTTCCAGAAAATTTGAGTTATGGAGTTTTGAGAAGGAAAGCCTAGAAGTTGAAAAGTTTGAAATGCATTCTTTCAAAGGGAATTCAAACAGGATCTTTAAAAAATTTGACAGAAGGAAATATTCCACGAAGGGCGGTTGGAGCTAATGGGGTTCAAATTAATTTCTTTTTAAATTTGTCACCAAATAAATGGCCTTTCATTCAAAGAAGTTTTTAAAATTTTAAATATGAATTTACTTATACACGGAGTTCGTATTTAGTTGAGTTCTCAGGGAAAGCAACTTATTTAATTTGAGAACCCTGATTCATTTTCACAATAAGAAACTTGTTTACATCCGTTATTCAAGGAAACATTGAAACTTATTATTGTAACGTTGATCAAAAACAATTATACACTTTTTTTACGACCATATGTTGCCTCTAACAAAAAAATGAAAAAAACAGTATGTATCTTTCATTCAAAGACACCTTTCTTCACGCCCACCTTTCTATTTTTTTTAAACATTCCACTTATTATGTTTTCCATTTAAACATTCCTGCTTCATTGGATCTTAACATTTTCAAAAAAATCAGAAACTCTTAAATGCCAACCATAAAGTTTTCTGCAAAAGTTTTACAAAACTTTGCAGGTCTGCAGAACATTTTTGGGAAATTTGCCAGTCTGTAAAAAATTTTCAAGCAATTTTCCAGTCTGCACTTCCTGTAGGACCAAAAAGGTTGAGGAAGGCTGATCTAAACTCTAAAGCATATAATAAAGACAAAAAAGGATGATAAAATCTCGTCGAGCAGTTTTCTTTAACCAAGTAAGTTCTTGGCAGGAATTTCGAGGCAATGCAAATTTTATAAGAGCAAAAATTCAACATTTTGCTTTAAATGGAAAAATTCCACATAATCAAACCTTCGCAATATTAATGATGCAGGCTGACCGAATAAAAATGAATTATGCGGCTATATGAGAAGAAAACATTTTCCTTTACAAAATATCCGAAAGCTTCGTATCATGATGAATAACTCACAGCACGTATTTTTATTGTCTTTCTGCTTCGTTAGGTTTTCGAAACTTCTCAACACCTCAATTTTCTTTTCTGCTTGAACGGCTGCTTTGAAAGAGTATATTTTACGAACTACTGTAATCGCCAGATCTCTTTTGCAGTTTGAATGATAACTATAAAATTATGTAGTAAGATACGGAAGTATTCTAGCGCAGAATAATTCTTTTTTATATCCCACGAAGTCTTATTCTCGTCATGAAGTTATCACCTGATCATAAAAACTGGCAAAATTCACACGAATTTTCCGAAGCTTAAATTCTGAAGTTTTCCGAAATTCAGAGGGAAGCAACTGATTTTCAGGGGGAATAAAGATTTTTAGTTTTCGTGGAGAAATTGATCAATTTCCGCAATCTGGAACCGAGTTCAGAATTTTGATTTTTCCGACGAACCTTTATAAATTGGGAATATAGGAAGAAATAAAATAAAGTCACAAAGGTTTTTTTGGAAAACTTGCCGGGTATTTTTATTTCCCGCCCCAGTTTCGCCACAATAACAGGAACAAAATGCCAACCAAGGCAAAAAAACGACGCGCACAGCAAGACAAGTGTATAGTGTCAACGATTATACAGGAACAATATACTTTCCATTTTGAAAAATAAAAGTATTTTTTTTTGCATGGAAAATACGAACCTGAGTTTTTGCGAGCCCTTCACGAAGAAGATCTCTTTTGTAACCACCGTTTTTGCTGACCAGAAAAAAATACTTGAGGTGCTTCTCTATATAATACTGTACGTGAAAAAAGCGTGCTGAATTGTAATACTGTCGGATTGCTTTTTTCAACTAGAATCGGATTCCGTTTTTTTTTTTACATAGGTCAGAAACTTTGCTGTGCGAATAATATTGCAGATTGACATTTTTCTTTCAACACTAGGACTAGAATAACCTTTCCGTGCACATCTGCAATCGAAAGAAGCTCCATAAAAAGTGGTCAGAAATATGTAAAAGAACGAGCTTGGAAAAAAAAATGATACACTGGACGAAATATTGTCACTTTTGAGTGATTTCAGGTTCTCTCTGATGAAAAAAAAAAACGTGGGAAAAATACAAAAAATTACCACTTACAAACTCTCACTAAAGATTGGAATGGGATTTGAGCAAATGACTGAGATTGTTGATGCAGTTTTATTTTCGTTGGAAACTTTTACAGCCACAGCTTCTGCAGTGATGACGTCGACACAGGACTTCAATTTACCACCTGATGGGGGAAGAAAATATAAGAAAGTCATAAAACGGAGGAAAACATTTTCTTATACAATTCATCGGACTTTCAAAAGATTTCTGTGTAGGAACAATTTAGATTTTATAGCTGAATTTTTTTTTTTTCTCGTGAAAAAGAATTTCACGATTCTTCTGATGATCGGGGGAATTCAAAATGTTTCCTTGTATACGCTGCAAGTCTCCGAAAAGCCAGGCCCTTGAATTTCGGGCATCCGTGAAATCATTAAAATCTGAATAAATGTAAGAACAGAAGGCTGAATAAGGCATGTTTAGATATTTGTTCTGCCTGTGATTTTTTTTATTTTAAATTTTATGAGCAGGAAATGGGGGGGATTAGGATAATTACTTTTTGTAGCCAGAAGAGCCACCAGAGCTGCTGGAATACTGGGGCTGCGGGTGTTGGTGGGCGTGCTTGTGGCCGTGCTTGTGGCCATGCTTGTGTCCGTGCTGGTGGCCGTGATTGTGGCCGTGCTTGTGCTTGTGCTGGTGGCCGTGCTTGTGGCCATGCTTGTGCTTGTGCTGGTGGCCGTGCTTGTGCTTATGGTCATGCTCATGCCAGTGCTTGTGGTGGTGGGAATGCACATGTTTATGCTTGTACAACCTGGTGAATAAAAAAAACAGGATTTTTGATCAGAAAATTTCATTTGATCGAAAATGCACAACATTTTGTTCGCTAGAACTGAATTAAAAAAACATGAGGTTCAAATACTGTATTGAGTTTATATCTGTAGGTTTGCGATTCTGAAGAAACCAAAATCGAGTTTCCAGGCTCTCAATTTTTAAACAATTAAAGTCCTGGAGAATTTTTCCTCGGATAATCCCATTTTATAGAAGATGTAAAACCTGCTATTTTTTCAACTGAATTCCGACAAAACATGAGGTTCCAAAGCAGGTTTGTTATTCTGAGGAATCGAAAATCGAGCCATAAGCGCTCCCTTTTTATACAATTAAAGACCTGAAGAATATTTCCTTACCAAATCCATTTTATATCAATAAAATGGTGAATTTAGAAAGATGAAGTTCCAATATTTATATATCCAGGTTTGCGATTCTAAACAATCCAAAACCGAATTTTAGGCGCTCAATTTCTAAAAGAAAAAAAATGCTGGTCCTGGAGAATTTTTGTTCAGGAAATTCCATTTCATAGTACAAAACTCTTCGTTTTCTCAAACTGAAGTATTCTGACAAAAAAAAACATGAGGTTCCAATATTTATTTCTGTAGAGGTTCTTAATTCTGAAGAAGCCAAAATCGAGTTTTCAGCGCTCGATTTTCAAACAATTGAAATCCCTGAGAATTTTCGCTTTTAACTTTCCATATATAGCGAACTCAAAAATTGTTTTGCTACAACTGAATCTTGACAAAAACGTGAGGTTTCAACATTCATTTCTGTGGGTTTGTAATTTTGAAGAATCCAAAATCGTGTTTCATGGCGCTGAATTTTCGAACAATTGAAGTCCAGATGATATGATGAGAGTTCGACAGCAGGGGTTCTTATAACGGTGGGATTTCCGCAATTTTCAAAGCTATTCACAATCGTGCCAGAAAATTAAAATGTTCAATACTCAGCATTATACGGTATCCGCAATTTCCCAGCTCGTAAAGGAAATTCGTCAGAGTGTCTAATCACTGAAATCCACTTACTTCACAGCTGGTTTCTTATAAGAACTGGCACCAGAAGATGATGAATATCCGGAGGGAGCTGCGTCAGGTTCAGGCTCGGCTGAAGTCAAGACTACCAAAACGACGCACAAGGCGAATGCGAACAAAATCTGGGTGGAAAATGTGTCGGAAATCACAAGAATTAAACGGACTATTCGAGGAATAATAAGGCATCTTATGTTTCGAAATCTAAAATCATTAAAAGTTTTGCCCGAAATACGCTTCATGGCATCTTTACGCATTTTTAAAAATTTGATTTATAAAATATCTTCACGCAGTCAGTCAATCTCTTGAGTGACTGGATTTTTGGTTTTGTAGTTTTCTCTGGAAACAAAATTTTTAGAGGCGTGAATCACGAGATGACAGCTTCAAGAAATTTTGTTTGTCACCAGCATTGTCAGAAGAATTTCCAGGATTTTGTTCCACTGGATTTAAAAAATAAACTCGAAATTAAACTTGTGATTTTCGTGCAAACAAATGGTAGATATTTAATCGAAATTTATTCTAGATTTTCAGACTTCTTCCATTTGGAATTATTATTTCAAGATTTTTCGAAACTAATTTTATAGTTTTGAATAAAATGTCATGATCGATTCTAAAATTTGAAAGTACTATAACATGGTTTCAAAGTTTTTTAAATCAATATAAAGGCATTTTGAAATCGGTTTGGATTTCATTTTACCAAAGTTCGATCGGTCGTCTTGACGATTATTCGTTTTATCACGAATGTTTTCCTCGCTGGTTGACTTTATTGATGTTTTTTGCAGTTCAAATTCAAGCTTTCGGTTTAAATCTCCCGTGAAATTCATTTCTGTTCTCGTAAACATAATTCAAGATTGATTGGCCATTTTTCGGGAGAGATTCAATCCTGGAATTAATTTGTTTTTCACGAGTTATATTTCTTGAGATTCAAAGCGTTGACTTTATATATACTGTATTCGAAATATAGTTTTGCTTCTCTTTTTCAACAGATGAATTTCCACCACTCGAAAAGTTTCGCTCACCTTAGCGTTCACCATGTTGACAATTCCTCGAAAATTCACCGCAGGAATCCAGAAAATCGCCGGGAATTATGATTGCACACTGATGATGAAAAACGCACTTTCAATTTTATTTTCTCTCTCAAAAAAATGTCGAATTGCTCGCTGTATGTTGGTCCCAGCACCAAACCCTGTCGGAGGCTCTGGATCTTCTGACAGACCCCAGCACTCTTCGCCACTGCCTTTATACCACGGCCGCCACGTAACGGCGCCTTCATTTTGCGTAACCGACCGATATTCGGCGGCCTTTGTTTTTTTTCTCTTTTTCATTCCTCCTCCTCTTGGCTCGTTCTCAATTTTTTTGTTTTGTTTTTGTTCTGAGCCTCATATTCTTCCCATTATCTCTCTGCGGGGACCGGAAGGAAAAGTGCGGGCGCCCCCGCGGGGCGGAGGTTGCGGGAAACCCCGGATATTCGGGTTGCGTGAATATGTTTTTCCCCCCGCGACCGGGTTTCGCCCCGACATCATATGCGAGTCTCGCGTTCCCTTCCTGTTCGACACACGACCGGCAGGATTTTTCTCTGCTGTTGTGTGTTCTTATTCTTTCGCCTCACTTTTGCATTTGTTGTTTTTGTTTTTATTTTTAATTTTTCTTAATGCACCCAGCGTTCGGGTTTTGATTGAATGATGTGTAACGAAACCGCTGATGGTGAGCAAGAGGAGTTATTTGTGGCCTTGGGGGGGATCGACTCGCAGCAATAAGCACGCGTCGTTTTAAGATGCGAGCTGGGGAAAAAACTATTGCATGGGAAGGAAAAATTTTAGTTTAATTTTTCTCCCTTTTTTCCAGAGCAGTGCAGCATAGCTAAGGTGAATAAATGAATAATTCAGACTGAAGATTGCCTCAAGTTTCTGCTTTAAGAATTCCGAAAATACACAGATGATGAAGCTGAAATATGGTTGCAATAGGAACAGCTTGAGCAGAAAATCTTGGGAAGTACAGTGAGACACCAAGAGGCAGATGTAGTTGGTGCATCAAGAGTGTCCCTAAGTCAAAATGCCCCTAATTTAGTCTAATTTCCCCATCATAGACTTACATTAAATACATTTCAATTGGCGTTTCATGTACAAAATACTCATCATAATTTCATGAAAATAAAAATTGTCTCCCAATTTAAGCTGGTTCCCATTGATATATTTCAACGCACTCTGGACATTTGGGGAATTGAACTTTGATACCTCTGTACAGTTTATAGAAATGTTGGCATTATTATCTGTAAAAATGACATCCAAGTGAAAAAGAGAGAAGGAAGTCCTTTTATGCTGGAGGTAGTTTTTTTCAATTAGTCAAATGGATGGTAAATTGGTGAGAGAAATGCCCGAGAACTTTTCTTACATCAATTTAAGGGTTGGAAATATCTGTTTCTTGTAATTTGGCTTGAAATGTATTTGCAATTTTATTGCAAAATTTCCCCATGTTGAGTCAGTGTCCTTATGTTGGGCTTTTTCTATTAATTTTTCATGGGAAAATAAGTGTCCCAATTTTGAATTGCCGGCAGGTCAAGGTGTCTGCATGTGGTGGTCTCACTGTATAGTCTATGAAAATGTCTCCAAAGTGTGGCATTCATATGTTAATACATTTTTTGGAATTTTGTGATATACTGTACTTTTAGGAATTGGTTTATTTTGCATGTTGACAGGTACATAGAACAAAAACGTAATTTTGAATCCACTGCTCAACTGTGTAGACATGACTCATTAAGTCAATGTGGTTTGGCGATTAAAGATGCAAGATTTCTGTTAGACAACATGCCCCAGTGCATGCAATACGTTAGAGTTTGGCAAATTCAATGTGTGTGGGTTATTGCCACATTCTGCAAATTGATCTTCGAATATGTCTGCATAATTAATTACTCTTGCATCCTGGTAATTTTTACTTTGAAGTCCACAATTGGGGGGAACATTAATATTATTTGCATCAATAAAGGCTCATATTTTCTCAAATCCAGTTACGAGTCGCGAAAAATAATCTAAGAGCTGATGGAACAGAGCCAAAAATGAGCATTATATAGGATGTTCATATGAAATGATACTCACACATTCCCATGATTATCATAAGCAGCAGAAAAGCATACTAACATAATTGAATGATTTGGTTTCAAACATTCGTGTAGAAAATTCTTCTTCGGGTCGAAGCCTGTCCTGGGTCATTGGCGTTGATCAGGAAAGCGTATCGGATTGGTCCATTCATCATAGGGTTTCATCAAAAATTCCCAGGTGAATATAGAACTAGAATTCATTTTTGAAAACTTTCCTCTAGTTGCGGAATAACTTACCACAGCATAAAGTTGAGACAGAGACAATGCATCAAAAATAGAAGAAAGTAATCTAAAATAGGCTCGAACAGCCTGGGAAAAGGCCGGAAATCCTAGTTGGCATTCGGATTTTAAAAGCTTGTACAGTACTATATGTCAATGAATCCCACATGAATGAACCTAGTTTTAAAATGAGGAACTGAAACACATGATAACTCAAAGAAAAATACAACTCAGCAAAACTCTTTGAGCAACAGAACTTTTTTCACCACAAAGTTCAAATTGCAAATGCTTGCTGCTGGTTCTTTGCTGGACACAAAAAAGAACAGAAAATATTTTATTGTTCTCTCGATTGCATTGTTTTCAAAAAGAGGTTTGCCTTCATAAGAGATTATTTTAGATTTGTGAAGTTGCTGTGTGGTTTCATATGCATCACAATCGGAAGTTTTATTCATCACTTGTGTTCAAGTTGTTGAGTATTTCTATGTTTCAGCTTCTATATTTTATCTGATGTGTTTGCCTTGATAAACAATACGGTTTTTGTTGTGGATTTTTAATCTCCCAACATACCTTTCGTGTATTTTTGACTGTTCTCCATCTGCAAAAATACAGTCAATGCTGCTTTCTAGATAAATAATACTTCAGAGGCCCTCAGGCATTTTCCTTGAACTACGCAAAAATTCCTGTGCAAAAAATAAAGTTTCGTCCCTATAGCTGTTGATTCTTTCAGCTGGCAGTGTGATATTACAGTACTGTAGTACTAGTGAGTCCTAAATAGTGACACTTGAGACCATGAAAAGAATTGTCTCTTTACTTGCGATTCGAACTGCAGTTTTCTCCTAAAAATATATATGAATTTCTTTCATATACAATATATGTCAGCATACTCATCTATTTATAGCTGACACTCAAAACCCTGGTGATGATTGTACAGTATTTGCATTTAGTTCCTCGTCTGCTACGTGGGTTGGCAAATTAAATTTTTAAATGAAGTAATACCTAGCTGACATCAATTGCATGTTTTATATTCGGGACTACGAATTTTTATGCATTGATTAAATTGAGTTCTCAATGAAAGGAGAAATTATCTCATATATATGTCCAGCAATTGTCTCTATAATAAACGGCAATTTTAACACCCAAATTCACAACGTAATGATTTTCGATTCTTGCATTCACGACATATAAATACAGTATACTGCATAACCACAAACACTTGATGGCAAAGATATTTTTTACTAAATTGCATAAGTAAAAAAGTATGTTTCATCGTGAAAAAAACAGAACAGATTGTAAAATTTCTACTGATGATTTTTAATTTTGCTGTTACCAATTCAATCACGTATAGCATCGGGCTTTTCTTCAAATTCACAGAAAAAATAAATAAAATAAACTGGAGCATCAATAATAATATATGCAGACGACATTTTTGATGCAGCTGTAATTGTGTGCTTCGTTCTGAAGGCATCTATTGAAGGTCACAACTGAAAATCCATTGTGGAAAGTGGAGTAGATGAGCTTATATATACATCCATCGTTCATTCATAGGATTCCCTCATTGCAGAAATTTTCTCAGTATCATTTGCAGGAACCTTTTGAATCATGGTCTC